CCTCCGCCCCCTCTGAGCTGAATCCCGGAGTCCAACCGTCCTGCAGCCTCTCCCTTCAGGGTCCTGGGGAGGCCCTTCCTTCTTCCTAAGCTTCTTGGAGACCCACCCACATCTCTCCACCCTCCTCCCCTTGGGCTCCCTGGGAAGGTGACTTGCAGGGCAGGGGTGAGGTCTGGGGGACAGCAGGGCAGGGGTCTGGGCACATGGGGAGTGCATGACAGCCCTGGCTGCGTTTGGCTATTCATGGAACATCGCTCTGGGGTGACCACTCCCTGCCTTTGAGCCAGGCGTGGTGTCCCATACACACCCAGGCAGGGCAGGCCGGGGCCCTGGGTCCGGTACCCCCTGGGGCAGCTGCAGCGGTGCCCGCCCGGGGTGTTCTCACAGATCTGGTTGTAGTGACATTCGTCAGACTGCTCCAAGCACTCGTCCACATCTGGGGAGGCAGGGGTGTGGGCAGGGGCGGGGATGAGCCCGAGCCCACCCCCAAGGGGCATCCCACGCCCCTGCACATCTGGGCCTCATCCTGCCCCCTCTCCGACTTCAGGGCCTCCCGCTCATACCCGCTCCGGAAGGTAAGGAGGTTATGGGTCCGAAAGAGGAAAGGGGCTTTGGAGGAGTCTGGGGGTGGGCCGAGCTCTGCCCTATCTCTTGGTCCCTGAGCAGGTAATTCTCCCTCTCTGAGCCTCAGTGTCCTCCGCTGTACAGAGGGGTGAGCCCGGGTGGTGTGGCTCAGTGGTCGAACATTGGCCTATGAACCAGGAGGTCAGGGTTCGATTCCCAGTCAGGGCACATGCCCAGGTTGCAGGCTCGATCCCCAGTGTGGGGCGTGCAGAAGGCAGCTGATCAATGATTCTCTCTCATCATTGATGTTTCTATCTCTCCCTCTCCCTTCTGCTCTGAAATCAGTAACAATATATTTTTTAAAAAAGAGGGGTGGGCCAAGACCTCTTCCCGGGCCATGGTGAGAAAATCGGATCACGCATGTGAAGGGCAGAGGGGCCTGGCACATGTTGGTGGGAGAAGGGAGGGAGGGCGGAGGAAGGCGGGGCAGGGAGCCCAATGAGTAGGGCGCTGAAGGGCATGAGCCACTGAAGTCAAACAACTGCCTCTTCTGAGCTCAGTGCCGCCTGCTGTCCCTCCACGGATGGCCTCCGCTGGAGGCGCAGGGAGGACCCCGATCACGAGACCACGGAATGGGGGCAGGAAGGACCCTCGCAGTCACCCTGGCTGGGTGGCACCTGTCCGTCATCTCACAGGCCAACTGCCCATGACTCCCAGTGGCTGCGGGAGCAGCTGTGCTGAGGACTCAGAGGCTGTCTCTAGGCTGGGCCAGGGTCCAGCAGGGGGCACAGGGGAAGTGGCAGCGGACACGGCTCATGTTCGCCGTCCCTGACCTGGTCCCTCATCACTGGGCAGATGGCAAGCCTGAGGCCCCGAAAGAAGACCCTAGTCAGAGATCCTCCAGGTGCCAGCAGCCAGGCCAGGCCCAACGCACACCCCTGGGCCCCGCTCAGGCCCCTTCCCTGGCCTCGCTGTGCCCCTTGTCAAGAGGGTACTGTTTTCCCTGAAGGCCCAGCGTCCCAGTGACACAATGCTCCCCGTCTGCCGAATCCTGGACAACCCCACACGTGCCCCTGTCACCTTCACAATCAGCCCCGTCGGCGGCCACCCGGAAGCCAGGCCTGCAGTCGGGGAGGCAGCGGTAGGACCCCAGCAGGTTCACGCAGCGCTGTCCCTCCGGGCACAGGTCAGTAGGCCACGCACACTCATCCACATCTGGGGGCGGACAGGGACAGAGGCCCCATGAACCCAGGCCCCCCAACCCCAACTCTGGTCTAGCCTCCCCACATCGGCTGAGTCCCCAACCCCAGGAGCCCCAGGGAAGAAGGTCCTACCCCTCCTGTTAGCTCTGTCACCTTGGCACCCCCACAAACACAGATCCCCCTGCCCCCATCCCGGGACCTGAGGGCTGCATCTGATGGGAGGTTTTGGACAATGCCTATGGGCACCCAATGAGATGTAGCAATGCCAGGTCCCGGTGGTGGGAGCGGGGGGACACAGATCCGGGGGTCAGCGTCCGGACAGTGTCTCAGGGTCAGGCCGAGGGGACAGGCGGAGCCAGCAGGGAGGCAGGAGTCAGCTCACCTCCAACCCCAGGTGACTAGAAATGGCTGCCACGTGAGGGGAGCTGGCAAGGCTGTATCAGGCTCAGTGGGTACGAGCGCCCTGAGCCCGGGGGGCCACGTGTATGTCTCTGGGGACCCCCAGTTCCCCCAGCACTTGAGCCTCTCCACCTCGGGCCCTCATCACAGGAAGTGCCAGTGGGAACAGGGCATCAGAACACCCTGCTGGCATCCAGTGACCCCCAGAACAGACCACCCCTGGGTGACCCTAGAATGACCCCCCACCCCCACCCACTCACAGCCGGGCCAGGTCCCAGGAGAGCCTGTGCGTGGGGGCCACCCACCTCTGCAGTGCCTGTGGTCCCCGGCCAGGGCGAAGCCAGCCGGGCAGGCTCAGGAGGAACGGCCAGGGATATTGTGGCAGGAGTGGGAGCAGGGGCTGGGCCCACGGGCGCACTCGTCCCCGTCTGCCGGGGGACAGCTGGTGGGCTGCACGCACAGGCCCTCCTGACAGCTGCCCAGGCTGAGGGACCTCCCTCCCCTCTGCCCAGGGCAGGGACACGGTGCTCACCCACACAAAACTCTCCCTGGGAGTCCAGCTCAAAGCCCTCAGGGCAGCCTTCATTCTCTTCTGTGGGGCAAAGAGGACAGGCCTTGAGGACACAGGATGCAGGAACAGAGCGGCCCTGGCCGTAGCCCGGCTTGTCCTTCCCGCATGCCAGCTGGGCCAGGCCGAGGCGCCCTCAGCCTCTGCCTGAGCCAGGCCGGCACCCAGGCGTCAGCGAGCCCACTCCCAGCCCAGACCTCGGCTGTGGGTCGTGTCATGAGGGGCTCACGCGGGCTGGCCCGACCGTGGCTGGCAGACACCGAGATCATTGCTAAGTACAAAGCAGACCGCACAGGCGAAGCTGCGGTCCTGACAGTGCAGAGGAGGGGCCTGGGCTCTGCTGGGGTAAGTGAGCATCAGACAGGGCAGCGAGCCCGAGGCAGGGTGGGCACAGACTGTGTTCTGGGGGCGGGAGGAGACCGGACTGCCTTAGCGATCGGAGGGACAGCACCCTGATGAAGCAGCCAGTGGGTGCCAGGTGGGGGTCACAGAGACAGCACCTCTACTCCTGCACCCTGCAAGGCAGGCGATGCCACGCCCATTTCACAGATGGGCACACGGAGGCCCAGGGAGGGCCGGGCTCTGCCCCCAAGGTCTCACAGCCCTGGAGTGGGGTGGCTGGGTTTGAACCAGGGTCTGCCTGGTGTCAAAGCTATGCTTACCATTGCCCCATGTTCAAGGTTAAACCATGCTAACAGGCACATTTTTAGCCTCCAGTGAGTGAGACTATATGGCGTGTTCACACAGGCCGCCAGGGGTTCGAGGAGTGGCTCCCAGGCCCCTGAGTGGGGTCTCTGGTGCCGGCACCTTGGGAGGAGGGTAGGGATGACTCAAGTCTTGACCCATCAGCATGGGGGTGGTTTGGACCTTGACCTTGGGGCCCGAGGGTTTGAACAGGAGTGGCCTGGACAGCTGTGCCCCTGTTGGGGTGTGGATGGATGACGGGAACAGGGGGTGAGCTGTTTCAGTCCTGAGTCTCTGGTCAGGGGGTGCAGGAGGTGGGCTGTCACCTGGGCCTTCAGCCAGGTGCACTCGAGGCTGTCCCCACTGTGAGCTGGGGCGTGGGGTGGGGACAGGGCAGGGCCCTCACCGGCTTGTAGGGCTGTGGTGAGCTGGAAGCGCAGGGCCTCCGCCGCAGGGTCGTAGGCCGCGCTGATAGCCGAGGCCTGCAGGTGCTGCACCAGCTGGGGCTGCGGGCCCCGTGCCGCCTCGTACTGGATGCTGTGGTTGCAGCGCAGGGACACGGGCCGGCTGTCCTGCAGGAAGCGCTGCGTGGAGCCCACGAAGAGCTGGCCGGGCCCCGTCTGCACGTAGTCCTCCTGGAAGTCCTAGCGGAGAGGGGGGAGGGAGAACCTCTGGAATTGCAACTTCCAAACAGCGCTGCCTCCCACCACGGGGCAGCCTCCGCCCGGTCACAGGGCAGGTCACAGGCGGTCTTGCCCCTGGGACTGAAGAACGCCCCCAGGGGCCGAGAGGCTGGGCCCAGAGTATCTTCCTACTCGTCCCCCCTGAAGTCCAAGGCTAGGCCACACCCCAGCCCCCGCTGGGGAGTCAGGATGGCCGCAGGCAGGACATCCCACTCTCACGCACCCCTCTGTGCACCCCAGCTCGCCCGCACCTGCGCTCGGAGATCTGCGTCAGCCAAGCTCTCAGGGATGACGCCGTGGACCACCACGTCGAGGAGCAGGAGGCCGTCGGGATCCAGGCCCCGGGCCACCTGGGTCATCGTGAGCAGCTCCCCTGCAACCCAGCCCCGTCCAGCCGGGAGTCACCACGGGGGAGAGATCCTGGGCTCGGGCCCCAGTCCCCCCTGGCCCACCTGGGGGAGCCCCCACGCACCTGTAGAAAACTCCATGTGCGACTCTTGCCGGAAGCTGCCCCCCGTCAGGGAGTGGCCGTTCATGGCGTCGCCATGCTCTCCGGCCAGTGCCCAGTAGATGGGGGCGATGGTGACCAAGAGTACCCGCATCAGAGGCCCTGGATGGGGGCGGGGAGGCCAGATGCTGAGGGCAGCCACTCTTCTTCCTGCTCAAGGTCCCTCTGTGACTCCCTATGGCCCCCAGGAGCGCTCGGCCCCAAGATTCCTGGGACCAGTGATTGGATCAGAACCAAGTGGCAAAGCCCAATAGCTCGGTCTTGGAGGGGTTGTGAAATGAGCAGAACGTTTATACAAAGACGCCGTGGAACTTGTTGACATTTAACTCGGTTCCACAAGTCACCATGGAGCCTGGACCTGCACAGACCGCCTCTATGGGGGTGCTGGGACGAGTTGAAAATGAAACAAGTGCACCCCCTTGCTGCGGTTTTATTTGGGGGTTCCGGTTGGCTTGGACTCGGCTCTCAGAGGTGGCTGGATTTCCTCTGGGAACCGGGCCTAGGGCAGCCCCGGAACCCCAGCTTTGCCTCCTCCTGCCTCTAGTACGGGCGGCTGGTCCCCCCTTACCCACACTCGCAGGGAGGTGGCCGATGCTGCTCCGGAAGGTGGTGACCCCTGAGCGCGCCTCCTGCTGCACACTGGCGTTGAGAGTGGCCACGCCCAACTCCTGGCCATTGATCACCCCGATCATGCTGCCCCGGCCCCCCCGGGGCTCCCCTGGGAGGAAGGAAGAGAACAACTGTGACATTACCCGCCTCTGTGCCCTCAGTATCAGCAGCTACTGTACCTGTTTCCCGGAGGAGTAATCTGAGGCTCAGAGAGGGGAAGGAACTTGCCCCAGGGCACCCAGCGGAGGGGCGATGGTACCAGCTTCTGATTCTGGCTCTGCCATCGCCTTCCTGGAAACTTGGCCTAGCCAGGCCTCCAAGCCACACTTGAGTTGGCTTGTCTATCAAATGAGGGGGTGGGACCAAAGATGTGCCCCAAACCTGTTGGCATGCTGGAGGAGCCAGGCTGAGGAGCAGGGCACCGAGCCAGGTGCGGAATGCCACCACCGGAATGTCCCCCATTCCAACAGTGGCCCTGGCTCCAGCCGCCCTGCAGCGGACCTGGCTGGCGGGCGGATGGGGGGTGAGGGGG